ATAACTAAACTATTAACTTTGACATTCAGTAATTATAATTCATACTTTGTCTTTTACATTCAATACATTATTTTTAATATTTTAGAAAAAAATAAAAACAAAATATTTTAATTGTTGATGTTTATAGTTAGCTAGATTTGCATTTTTGCTGAAAATATATTCAAATTGTGTATTTGATACAACTGTAGTTTTAATACTTTATGAGGGTGAGGAAATATTCAGATAATGAAAACTGACAATGTAAAGGTGGAACATAGAAAACAAGAAAAAAATAAATGGATATTGTGTTTTTAGTATTTAAAAAAAATAGAAACAATGAAAGTGAGCAGACTTTTGTTGAGCATTACCCCACAGAATTCATTAACAGGACAGAACATTACATATTCTTTATTTGATGTAAAGTTAATTCCTCATAAAACAACGAATTTGAACAAGGATATATTCTCATCAAGTTCACAATTTCAACAGGTCAGATGTAATTCTTATTTTTTTTCTATATGGAAACTTAATTACTGACCAAAACAATGGAACAGAAAAAGAAAATTATTCATATTAAATTTACAACTCAAACCCAATAAATGTGACTATGTCTAACCCATTCGATAATAAAAAAAAAAACTACATTCATAAAATCCAGAAAGTTGAAAGATGAAACCTCTGAATCTTTACTAGGTTTATTGAATTATGGTCATGAAAAATGGTTGTCATATCCTTATGACAGCGTGAGAACATTTCTAGCAAAGCATAATCCAATTTTAATCAATGTTATATATTTTAACCAATTGGAAGAGCGTAACAAACATTTGGTAATTCATTTTTGCATGGAAGTTCTTTCAAATGGAGAAATAACTGGGGAAAAGAGATTCCGTATTCTATATTGAAAAACAATGTATTCTATCCCTGTTACTGAACATTTCACAACCAGTCCTTAAGATCAGCCTGGATTAATAAAGGTATTTATAACTCTGTAGCAGTTATATTTGCAGTTAAAAGAATACAAAAAGTCATTTGCATACATGGAACTTCTGGAACTGAGGAAAGAATGGTTGAAAAAATAACAATAATTTTGGTTCAACAAAGACAAGAAAATAAGGAATATTGTCATGATGTTCTTAAAATAGTATGTGTCCAATATTAAGCAACCATAATTGTGTATATGCTAGGAAGAAAACAGAAAATACGTATTTGTTAGATATTATTTTGAAATGAAATTATTTTGGTAAAACCTATAAAATAAATAAATATAAATAAATTAAATGGTCAATATCTAGGATGAAAAGTTAATAATATTTTTTTTATTTTTTAAACTTTGTAATGTTTTATTTATTTCTGTTTTTTAAAATTTTTTTATGTTTTATTTATTTCTGAGAGAGAGAGAGAGAGAGACAGCATGAGCAGGGGAGGGTCAGAGAGAGAGGGAGACACAGAATCCGAAACAGGCTCCAGGCACTGAGCCTCACACCGGGCTTGAACCCACGAATCGTGAGATCATGACCTGAGCTGAAGTCGCACGCTCAACTGACTGAGCCACCCAGGTGCCCTGTTTTATTTATTTCTGAGAGAGAGAGAGAGAGAGAGAGAGNGGCTCCAGGCTCTGAGCTAGCTGTCAGTACAGAGTCTGATGCGGGGCTGGAACACACAAACCGTGAGATTATGACCTGAGCAGAAGTCGGACGCTTAACCTACTGAGCCACCCAGGCGCCCCAAATTTGCTGAATTCTTGAATCAGTTCCAGTAGGCTTCTGGTGGAGTCTGTCGGGTTTTCGATGTAGAGTATCATGTCATCTGCGAAGAGTGAAAGTTTGACTTCCTCTTTGCCAATTCTGATGCCTTTGATTTCCTTTTGTTGTCTGATGGCTGATGCTAGGACTTCCAGCACTATGGTAAACAACAGTGGTGAGAGTGGACATCCCTGTCGTGTTCCTGATCTCAGGGGAAAAGCTCTCAGTTTTTCCCCATTGAAGATGATGTTAGCTGAAGGCTTCTCATAGATGGCTTTGATGATGTTTAAGTAGGTTCCTTCTATCCCGACTTTCTCAAGAGTCTTTATTAGAAGCGATGCTGTAAATTTTGTCAAATGCTTTTTCTGCATCTATTGACAGGATGATCTGGTTTTTATCTTTTATTGATGTGATGTATCACATTGATTGATTTGCGAATGTTGAACCAGCCCTGTAACCCAGGAATGAATCCCACTTGATCTTGGTGGATGATTCTTTTTATGTGCTGCTGGATTTGATTTGCAAGGATCTCGTTGAGGATTTTTGCATCCCTATTCATCAAGGATATTGGCCTGTAGTTCTCTTTTTTTGCTGGATCTCTGTCTGGCTTGGGAATCAGAGTGATGCTGGCTTCATAAAATGAGTCGGGGAGTTTTCTTTCACTTTCTATTTTTTAGAATAGCTTGAGAAGTAATGGTATTAATTCTGTTTTAACCGTCTGGTAGAATTCCCCAGGGAAGCCATCAGGTCCAAGGCTCTTATTTGTTGGGAGACTTTTGATCACTGATTCTATTTCTTCACTAGTTATGGGTCTGTTCAGGTTTCATATCTCTTCCCGCGTGAATTTTGGTAGTGAGTGTGTGTTTAGGAATTTGTCCATTTCTTCTATGGTGTCTAATTTGGTGGCATATAATTTTTCATAATATTCCCTGAAATTGCTTGTATTTCTGAGGGGTTGGTTGTAATAGGTCCATTTTCATTCATGATTTTGTCTATTTGGGTGCTCTCCCTTTTCTTTTTGAGAAGCCTGGCTAGAGATTTTTCAATTTTGTTTATTTTTTTCAAAAAAACAGCTCTTAGTTTCATGGATTTGTTCAATTGTTTCTTTGGTCTCTATGTTGTTTATTTCTGCTCTGATTTTTATTATTTCTCTTCTTCTACTGGGTTTAGGGTGTGCTTCTTGCTCAGCCTCCAGTTCCTTTAGGTGAGCTGTTAGATTTTGTACTTGCGCTTTTTCTATTTTAGTGAAATAGGCCTGGACTGCAATGTACTTTCCTCTTAGGACTGCCTTTGCCGCATTCCATAGATTTTGGATTGTTGTGTTTTCATTTTCATTTGTTTCCATATATTTTTAAATTTCGTCTCGAATTGCCTGATTGGCCCATTCATTCTTTAGTAGGTGTTCTTTAACCTCCATGTTTTTGGAGGTTTTCCCGACTTCTTCCTGTGATTGATTTCAAGTTTCAAAGCATTATGATCTGACTATGCATGGCATGATCTCAATGCTTTTATATTTATGTCAGGCTGCTTTACGTCCCAGTATGTGATCTATGTTGGAGAATGTGCCATGCGCACTTGAGAAGAAAGTGAATTCCCTGGCCTCAGGATGTAGAGTTCTAAATATATCTGTCAGGTCCATCTGGTCCAATGTGTCTTTCAAGTACATTATTTCTTTAGTGATTTTCTGTCTGGTTGACCTTTCCATTGTTGTAAGCGGAGTATTAAAGTCCCTTGCTATTAGCACATTCTTATCTATACGATTGTTTCTGTTTGTGATTAATTGTTTTAAATATCTAGATGCTCCCATATTCGGTGCATAGACATTTATGATTGTTAGTTCTTCCTGATGGATAGGCCCTGTAATTATTATATAATGCCCTTCTTCATCTCTTGTTATTGTCTTTAACTTAAAGTCTAGTTTGTCTGATATAAGTATAGCTACTCCAGTTTTCTTTTGATTTCCAGTAGTATGATATATTTTTCTTCATCACCTTACTTTTAATCTGAAGGTATTTTCCAGTCTAAACTGAGTTTATTGTAGACTGCATATAGATGGATTTTGTTTTCTTTATCCATTCTGCTACCCTATGTCTTTTGATTGGAGCATTCAGCCCATTTACATTCAGTATTATTGAAATATGTGGGTGTAGAGTCTTTGTGTCTTTTGTGGGGTTCATGCTTTTGGTGGTGTCCCTGGTATCTTTGTTCCTTGCAACCTTTCCTTCAGAGCGTACCCCTCAGGATTTCTTGTAGGGCTGGCATAGCGGTGACAAATTCTTTCAATTTCTTTTTATTTGGAAAGACTTTTATCTCTCCTATTTTGAATGACAGGCTTGCTGGATAGAGGATTCTTGGCTGCATAAATTTTCTGTTCATCACCTTGAAGATCTCCTACCATTCCTTTCTGGCCTGCCAAGTTTCAGTAGATAGGTCTGTCACCACTCTGATAGGCTTCCCTTTGTATGTTAGGGCCCTTTTCTCCCTAGCTGCTTTCAAAATTCTCTCTTTGTCCTTAAATTTTGCCATTTTTACTATGATATGCCGTGCAGAAGATCGATTCAAATTACTTCTCAGGGGAGTTCTCTGTGCCTCTTGTAATTCAACGTTTACTTCCTTCCCCAGGTTGGGGTAGTTCTCGTCTATAATTTGTTCCAGGACTCCTTCAGCACCTTTCCCTCTCTCTTCCTCTTCTGGGATTCCTATGATATGGATATTGTTGCGTTTGACCATATCGCTGCGCTGTCAACCTCTTCTTTCATGTTCCTGGATCAGTTTTTCTCTTTTTTCTCAGTTTCTTCTTTTTCTATAATGGTGTCTTCTAAATCACTTATTCTCCTTTCTGCCTCTTCATTCCGTGCATTGGACGCCTCCAGTTTATTATGTATCTCATTTTTCGCGTTTTTTCATTCATCATAACTATTTTTAAGCTCCATGGTGTTTGTAGCCCTAGTTTCTCTTATGTCTTCCATGCTTTTTTAAAGTCCAGCGATTAATTTTATGATTATTTTTCTAAATTATTCCTCAGTTATTTTGCTTATATCTGTTTTGAGCACGTCTTTAGCTGTCAATTCTTCCTGGAATTTCTTTGGAGGAGAACTCTTTCGTTTCGTCATTTGTTTAGCTTTCTTTCTCTTGTTAGTTTTAAAGACTTGTTATGTTCTCTGCACCTTTGAACGTACCCAAGAAGATTCTTTGACTGTCCAGGGCCTATCTTTTCGAGAGTGTTTTTTGAATGGTATCTCTTGGTTTCTCTTGTTGAGACCTTGGTCATTTTATTTTAAAAATATGGAACACTTCACGAATTAGCATGTCATCCTTGTGCAGGGGCCATGCTAATCTCTGTATCGTTCCGATTTTAGTATATGTGGTGCCGAAGTGAGCATGAAATGTATGTGTTTTAAATTACAGTTCATTTCTGACTATACCAAGGCAGAAAGAATACAGTTATGGAGGGTTCTTTTGGTACTTGCTTTTGTTAGATAACATATCCTGTGACATTTGTAAAAGAATCTCAGATTACTAGGAATGTCTGAAAGGAGTCTTATGTTTTTAAAAATGCCCTCACCTTTCTATACCAAATTCTACCTATGGTTATTATCAGGAAATGCATTTACCATGATTTGAAAATGCACAATTATACAACTTCTTATGAAGGGCTTCAGAAGATGTGTTTCTATATGCACAGAGATGCAGATATACAGCACTTCATATCTGTGCTTTAATTGAGATGTTTTCCATTTATTTTACTGAGATTTTGGAGTGTTATTACTTCCATTTGGATCCATTTGGTGTAGAGTTGTTCATAGTACAGAATTTGTGTGCTTTGTATTTAAAGGTGATGTTAAAGACAATATTGTATCTCAACTAATAAGAGCAATAAAAATAAAATGTATTGAGTTCTGAACTGAAGTTCAGAAATATTAAGTGACTTACTAAAGGTTACATAGCGAGAAGGCTTCTCATAAGAGAAGCCAGGACTTGAGTCCAAATCATTCTTAATCCAAAGGCCATGTTCCTAACCACAGTGATTCTATTTTCTGATCACAGGCTCCTGCAGGGATCTGATGAAAGCAAGCTTCCTCGATTTTTTTTAAATTAAGTTTATTTATTTATTTTGAGAAAGAGAGATAGAGATAGAGAGAGACAGAGAGAGATGAGAGAGCATGAGCAGAGAGGGGCAGGGAGGAGGGAGAGAGAGAATCCCAAGCAGGCTCCACAGAGCACAGAGCTGGACATGGGGCTCGAACACATGAACCATGAGATCATGACCTGTCAGAGGCTTAACCAACTGAGCAACCCAGGTGCTGCAATCTCTCTTGATCTTAAATAATTTCTCTTCGCAGCTATATATCTAGAATGTACACTATTAGTAACTCATGGGTTCAGTTAAGGTTTTACCATCCACAGAAATTCTTCTATAAAAAAAAAAAGGAATTCATCCTTCATAAATAAAGAAAATAATGTTTTATCCAAAACAAATAAACTAAATTGGTATGTCATTAATATTTTAGCATAAAACAAGTAATCACATGTCTTTCAGATTTCACTAACATTTATTGGGTACCCACTGTGTCATAGTCACTGGGTTAGACATGCACATAGCACAGCATTAAAGGAAGGATCATCAAACAACAATAGTTAGCATTCATTGAGTGTATATTATACACTAAGCAATTTAGGCAATTTTTACATTTTTTCTAATTTAATTATCTGAACATTCTTGTGAGATAATACTCCTATTCAACAAAGGAGGATATTGAGCATCATAAAGATTTAGGTACTTTTCCGAGGTCATAAAGGTAAGAAGTTGTGGGACCGCATTTTATTGTAAAGATCCTGGTCTTATTTCCTAACTGAGTCTGTGAATTAATATTGCTGTTTTTGCTCTGTGTTTTTATATATTTAAAATATGGTGATTTAAGGTGGTGTTAATTCAGCGGCTTTAGTCACAGCCAAACTTGGCTTCACTACTACTAACATTTTAAAACAACACTAACAGATTTGTAGCAAGTGACAACATGAAAGATGCTAGGGCAGACAACAAAGACATACCTCACCTGTTTAACAACTTTGCCTGGTCTAATCCCTAATAAAATGAGCCTTCTTGTGGAATATATCCTTCACTGATGTTCCCATTCCTTGCTGATCGTATGTGATCTGACCTCTTTCTTACATTTTGTTTGGAATCAGACAGGTTATTAAAACCGAGAAAGGGGTTGCAAATTAATAAAAATTCTTTATCCAGCTTTAGCACACTTTAGCCATTCGTGGATCTACTAAGTTTTCATCTTTATGGTGAATAACATGGCAAAATTATACAGATAAATCTCAATTTTTCATCTTATTGCTACTATGGATATAAAGATTAAAGAAAAAATCATGCATAATTTAACTATATTTAGAAAAACGACTTAGAGAGGCCATCTAACATGTGAAAATAAAGCAGCAGCATTCTTCATGTTTCTGAGATTGAGTTTCTTGTCTAGCAGTTACATTGCATTAAAATCGGTTTTGTATTCATCTAATGAATGAATTATTGAAATTTCCTAGGGAAATAAAGCTGCATCCACTTTTCTTAAATCCTATTGTTTGGCAAATATATTGAGAATCAGTTACATAATTTCAGCCTCTCATTTATTTAATATATTACAAATAGATGTCTGTATAAATCATAATGGATCATTTCTGCCAAAAGGTGAGCCTTCAGAGTTTAGCAGAGGGAAATACATGCATACTTCATGTATCCTTAATTTAGTGGGAGAGTCTTGATCTTTTATCTCTGGAAAGCAGTTCTGTCAGCAGGATGAACTTCTTCGTGTGGAAGTAAATTAGTTTGAGCGTAGTAGAATTCCCACTATCCTATGCTTATTGTCCCTCCCAATCCTGATGCAGCACACTACACCACAAAAGAGAAACTGAGCTGACGTAACCTTCAGCATCTTTCAACAATATATTGGACCAATCATTTACAATTAGATATACATGCAATTTTTCTCTAATGATTCGCGTAAGAAGTCTTTTCTTTGTCTCCATATCTTTCCACATTCATGATTCTGACCAAAGTTTACTTTGTCTATCTTGTGGTTCTATGTTTCACAAATTTTAGCTCTGTCTATCCTAATAAGTGACTGAATTAAGATTGATCCATCATGCATGTATTTCTTTAACTGTTTTTCTTAAACATTCGCTATAAATTTGAAATGACTCAGATACTGTATCTTTGAGATCAGAGTATGTAGTTTGGTCACAGTTCATTCACAAAACTGGCTACTTATTAATTAATTAATTATTTTATTTTAGAGAGAGAATATGAGAGCAGGGGAGAGGGACAGAGGGATCAAGAGAGAGTATCTTAAGCAGACGCCACACTCAGCACACTCAGCACATGGGGCTGGATCCCGTGACCCCAGGATCATAACCTCAGTTGAAATCAAGAGTCAGATGCTCAACCAACTAAGCCACTCAGAAGCCCCAAACAAACCTGGCTTTTTTAAAAAAATTTAATGTTTTGTTTATTTTTGAGAGAGAGAGATAGAGACAGCGTGAGCAGCGTAGGGTCGTCGAGAGAGGGAGACACAGAATAGGAAGCAAGCTCCAGGCTCTGACCTAGCTGTCAGCACACAGTCCGACCTGGGGCTCGAACCCATGAACTGTGAGATCATGACCTGAGCCGAAGTTGGATGCTTAATCGACTGAGACACCCAGGTGCCCCCAAACCTGGCTTTTTTTAAAGGCAGTTATACAAAAGATCTAGAAGAAGACATAAGGTATGTATTTAAATAATCCTAGACTGGTTACATTCTTTAAAGCAGTAAACAAGACCCAAAAACCACTAAAATTAAGTAAATGTGACTTTATAACATTTTAAATTGTATGCATTGAAAAATGTACCATAAATAAAGACACAAATGCACATGACAGGGTGAAAAAGAAGGTAAAATACACCTCTGACAAGGCACTATTTCCTTACTATATCATAAATTCTGAAAATCAATAAGGGCCAACAACCCTATAGAAAAATAAGCAGAAGGGAGCTTGGGTGGCTCAGTCGGTTAAGCATCCGAATTCAGCTCAGGTCATAATCTCACGGTTTGTGAGTTCGAGCCCGGTGTTGGACTCTATGCTAACAGCTCAGAGCCTGGAGCCTGCTTTGAATTCTGTGACTACCTCTCTCTCTTCCCCTCCCCACGCTCGTGCTCTCTCACACAAAAATAAAATAAACATTAAAAAAGAAAGAAAAATAAGCAGAGCTACTTCTAAATAACTCAGAGAAAGGAAAATGGCTTTTAAACATATGAAATGAAACACATCAATTTTAGGAAAATATATACAAATTAAAACTATAAGATGACATTTTTTGCCTATAATTTTGACATTTAAAGTGCTTGATTATATACTGTGCTGTAAAGGGTGTGGGAAAACAGGAGTTTTGACAAAATCGTTGGTAGGATTTAACCTTATACTACTTCTTTGGAGGAGAACTTAACAATATCTATCACAATACCAAAATGCACATACCATGAGCTCCAGTAATTCCACCTCTCAGAATTTTATCTTTTGTCATAGATATTTTCATGTGCTCACATATATCATGTACAGTTGCATACTTATATTTAAATTTATATTTATAGATATATATATTCACACACATATACATACATTATATGATTAAAATAATAGAATATCTGTAGATAAGCCAGAAACTGGTAAGAGTGGTTGCTTTTGGAATGAAGACAGTAAGGATGAGGGATGGAGTTGTTAGGGGACTCGGGGAAGGGGATCCAGTAATGAAAGAGAAACTTGATTTTCACTCTATTCTCTTTAGTATTCTTTGACTTTTATATATGTATTATATATTATACAACATATATTCAATTATTTTACATATGTATTATCTATTTTAAATATTTAAAAACAAAAGGTGTCTATCTTTGGTGCCAAGATATATGCGTTTCCAAAATAAGAAATCAATGTTGTGTGTGAATTTAACAAATTATTGTAAAGAAAAGGTCAAATTATAAATTAGAGTTTAAAAGTAAAAACCTCTTAGTCTATGACCAATGTAACTTGCAGATGGTGGTTTTCAAGAGAAAATCGTATGGACATAATATTAAAACAAATCTGGCTTAAAACACTGTATCTGTCATTTATTAATTATGTAGTCTAAGACAATCACTAATCTCAATGAGCCTCATCCATAGCTGTAACACTGGCATAATACCTACATCATTGTGCTTTCCAAAGGATCCAATGAGATAATATAAATAAATTCCCTAATACAAGGCTACGTGTATAGTAAGAATTCATTAAATTTTCATGTGTAACTTTAAAGATTATCATCATGGAAAATATCAGTGAACAATGACTGTAGGATATGTGAATT